AGGAGAGATGGAAGGGCAATGCTGAGGTGGGTGTGGGGGCGGGGAGGGGGGTATCTAAGAAGAGACAGAGAGAAGACTGGACTGAAAATATAATAGGAAGTGACACTTGAGTCAGGCCTTAAATGGTTGGGAGCATTTTGTCAGGCAAGGATGGCGTTCTTAGCCCAGGGGAAAGCCAGGTTCCTTTGCCTGGTGGCAGGAGGGATGCTTGCTGACAGGGAAGGTGAAAGTGGGGTTTTATTGGGCAGAGGAGATCTGTCATGGATTCCAAGGCCTGGAAGGAGACAGGGGGCTCACAGAGTGGGCTCATTCTGTGCCTTGCTGTGAAACTAGGACTTCATTGGACAGCAGAGGAGCCCGGAAAAGATTTTAAATAGGGACACGTGACCAGTTGCATTCCAGGAAAATTACTTGTTTACATTTATACTTTGTCTCATTCACTCAGCCTATGTGTTTAGAAAGGTTACTGTATACCAGGCACTGTGCTAAACACTGGGGTGCAGCAGTGACAAAAGAGACCAAATTCCTTCAAGAGCTAAAGATCAGTGAGGGAGACCAGCGACAAATAAGGAAACACACAAAGTGGACCATGATTACACACACAGGGTACGTTTATAGAGGATGGTGACTTGTTACAGAAGGAGGATGGAAAACTGGTTGGGTGGCCAGGAAGACCCTTCTGAGGGAATGATGTTTCAGCCAAGACAAAAGATGAGGAGGAGCTAGCCAGCCATGGGGAGGAGGGAGAGGAACACTTACACAACATCCTAGGCTAAGAAAATAGCGTGGAATTGGAGGAGCTCCTGGGTCTCCGACTATGCTAATCTGGACACGGAGTACTGAGGGCTTGAGGAAGGGAAGGCAGTGGCAGTGGGAGCCGAAAGGATGAGCAAAGCATAGGGGAGAGTTGACGGTCATGCTGAGGCTTGGAGCCAGACTGAATGGGCAAATGCGTGATGCCGAGTAAAGAAGCTGGGGAGCAGGGCCAGATGTGGGAAAAGGTGTTGGGTTTGGTTTGGGTCATGCTGAGTCTGTGGCCCTGGTAGGCTGTAAAAACAGCTGGAGGATTGAGAGGAGATGGTCAAAGAGGAGAGGACCTGGAGGAAGTCCTTGATGCCATAGCTTTCTCCCTTCCTCTTTTTCCTTGTCAAAGGTTCTTGACTTCCCAGATTGCCTCCTTCCCCTTTGGGAGCTGAGAAGGTGGGGCAGGGGTGATAGCTACAGTTCTGCTCCTTTGAGTCCGCCTGGATCTCTGTTGCTCCTTGGGAGCACATAGCTTGCTGGTCCTGGCTTCTTAGCCTCCCTCTTACGTGTCTCAGCAGCCACTGAGACATATGTGCTGCCCTGGCGTCTCTTCCCAGCTCCCATATTCCCTTGACACCCTGGGTGGGTTATGGGCATGTAGGGATGCTACAGAGTGTCAGAGGGGCACTGACTCTCTGCTGCTGTCACCCAAGGTGAATGTTGGAGACACAGTCGCGATGCTGCCCAAGTCCCGGAGAGCCCTAACTATCCAGGAGATTGCTGCGCTGGCCAGATCTTCCCTGCATGGTACGCACCCCCTTCCCATACCTTTGGCCACTCTGTCCTTCCTTCTTCCTTTTGCACATACACATTGGGGACTGTATCCTGTGAGCTCTTGCTGGGATCTCCCTTTTCTTCCCCTTCTTAGATGAATCCCAGCTTCCTCCTCCCATCCAAAGGCACATGTGGACCCAAACCACCACCACCCTTCCACTCCCCTCTCTGATGCTCCCTGGCCTGTGCCCTAACCAGGCCTCCCTCTGCCCCACCTGCAGGTATTTCCCAGGTGGTAAAGGACCACGTGACCAAGCCCACCGCTATGGCCCAGGGCCGAGTGGCTCACCTCATTGAATGGAAGGGCTGGAGCAAGCCAAGCGACTCACCTGCTGCCCTGGAATCAGCCTTTTCCTCCTATTCGGACCTCAGCGAGGGTGAACAAGAGGCTCGCTTTGCAGCAGGTGGGGACAGGAAGGGGTCAGCCACACATTTGTCATAGGGTTGCTCCCATTGCCTCACACCTGATGTGGAGGTTGGAGTCTTTCCATACCCCTCTTTCTTTCCTCTCCTGTCTCCAAGCTGAGCCCTAGTCTTAATTCTTCCTCTAATGTATTCTGCTAACGAACCTTCTCCGCTAACGAATTCCGTGTCCTCCCCGACAGGAGTGGCCGAGCAGTTTGCCATTGCAGAAGCCAAGCTCCGGGCATGGTCTTCGGTGGATGGTGAGGATTCCACCGATGAATCCTATGATGAAGACTACCCTGGAGGAACTGACTCAGGTGAGGGGCAGTCCATGCTCGTGCCCCTAGCTGGGGTGGGACTGAATGAGAGGCCTTGTGACTCAGAGGCTTTTGGAAGGGGTGGGGTGCAGACCCTGTCCAGGCAGTCCTTGACATTTCCAGGGGCAAGAGGGCTGTCCACGCTCATGGGGGCGCAGTCAGCACCTGGAAACGGAGTAGTTCCTTTCCCATAGGTGCGTAGCCTTCTCTGCCTGTGCCGTTGGGCCTTGTAGTCCAGAGACCTCACCGATACCTTCTGTGCAACTGTGTCTCTGGGAGGGTCTGCTGTGCCTCACCTTTCCCTCTCAGGGCAGCCTTCTGGCCAGCTGTGGCAGCACAGATGAGCCACAGCAGCATAGCACCTCACAGGGCCATGGCCCCAGACAAACAGGAAGGCGTGCTGGGCCCGGACCGCCCACAGGGCCGTGCTGGCTCATGCTCAGCATCCTCAAATTCCATCTGAGACCTGCCTGTCGGCCTTTCTCTGGGCCAGTGCTTCCAGAGGGGACCCTGCGGGGCTGTGCAGCTGTGCACAGCCCTCCTTTCATCTTCCAATCCCCAGACCACATGGCTGACTTTCTCTGTAGCTTCTAGGCTCATGCCTCACAACACTCCCCCCACCCCTACTTCTTTGCCTTTGAAGATTGCCTCCACCAGCCCCCACCCCTCCAGCTAATTAACAGATTCTCCAAGAGCAATACATTCGAGCAGACTAGCAATACATTAGAGTTATGCTGTGGTCCAGAGGTGACTGATTTGGTTGCCTGAGGCCAAGATGGAGCCCGAAACCATAAATGCTCTCGTTTGATTGAGTTGCAGGCCTGCTTTTTGATCCTTGGTGTAATGATAATAACATTTATCCGAGGCCACCACAACCCCACGTAGAAGCTTCGTGCAAATTCAAAAAAGCACCTCTCTCTCTGGTGGGCACGGTCCCATGCTAGGGCATGCTGCTTGATGAGCAGAGGGTGGGCTGAACTTCCGTCCACACTCACTGCCTTGGACAGGCTCCCCTCGTGCAATGGACCACTGGCACAACCATGTGTGGTATCCCTGCATTTATTACTTTCTTACTTTGTGCTACATTCTTTTGTTCTCTCAGCAACCCCATAAGTAGGTATATTAGACTCTCCAACTTGCCATTAAGGAAACTGAGGCACCAAGAGGTTAAGTGACTTGCGCAGTTACCCAGCTCCTACCCACTCTCCCCAGAGCTAGGGGTGCCAAGGGTGGAGTGGGGAGAATGTGGCTTCCAGGTTGGTCAATTGACATGGGGCTAGTAGGGCTAAATTCTTTTTTCTCCCCCTGCAGATATGGCTGGGCAGCTGCCCCTGGGGCCCCACCTCCAGGACCTCTTCACTGGCCACCGATTCTCCAGGCCTATGCGCCAGGGCTCTGTGGAGCCTGAGAGCGACTGCTCGCAGACCGTGTCCCCAGAGACCCTGTGCTCTAGTCTGTGCAGCCTGGAGGATGGGTTGCTGGGCTCCCCAGCCCGCCTGGCCTCCCAGCTGCTGGGTGACGAGCTGCTCCTCGCCAAACTGCCCCCCAGCCGGGAAAGTGCCTTCCGTAGCCTGGGCCCATTGGAGGCCCAGGACTCGCTCTACAACTCGCCCCTCATGGAGTCCTGCCTTTCCCCCGCCGAGGAGGAGCCAGCCCCCTGCAAGGACTGCCAGCCTCTCTGCCCGCCACCAGTGGGCAGCTGGGAACGGCAGCGGCAAGCCTCTGATGTAGCTTCTTCTGGGGTGGTGTCCTTAGACGCGGATGAGGCAGAGCCAGAGGAACAGTGACCCAAATCATGCCCGGTGGTGGCATGCGTCCCCTGGCTGCTGCTGGGGGCAGAGCCTCTGTGCCCAAGTGCGGGCTGGAGGCCTCCAGCAGAGCTCCAAAGCCTAGAGGGCTCCTGGGAGCACTCACTCCTCCGTTGTGTGTTTTGCATGAAAGTGTTTGGAGAGGAGGCAGGGGCCAGGCTGGGGGCGCATGTCCTGCCCCCACTCCTGGGGTTTGCCGGGGGTTGCCCGGGGCCCCTGGGGCATGGCTACAGCTGTGGCAGACAGTGATGTTCATGTTCTTAAATCAAAAATGCCACATACACATTTCCTCCTTGGATGATGTGAACCCCTAAGGGGGTGGTTGTGACTGGGCCCTGTGGGGTGGAACGGGAGGGAGCCCGGCCCCCTCTCCCCCTTCCCCGTGCCTCTCTCTTTGCTTCTCTCCACCTCTGAGTCCATGTGCAGTGCTTGACAGACTCCTCCCCCATCCCAGGGCGGGCTGGCTCTTACCCTCCTGGAGCCTAGGATTGAGCCGTTTCCCCCAAGGGCCCCTCGCCCAGCTGGGCTCGTGCTGTGCTTTGCCTCTCCATCATCTCTAAATCTTCTTCTATTTCCTAAAGAGGGGTTTTGGTCTGTTCTTTCAGTCGGATATTCTCTGGGAGGCACTGGATTGATAAAGGCATGTACCCTCTGCCCTTTTCCTGGCCCCTTGTAGGATGTGTGGGCAGGATCCCAGCGGCTCACAGCCTGCCTGGCTGCCCTATTCACCGAGTTCTTGTCAGAGTGGAGTTGGGAGAAGGGATGGCTCCACTTGCTACGGAGCTGTGACTTCAATGTTCTTCCAGAGAGGGCCACAAGGGGGCCACGTGGGTGGCTGGGCAGTTGTCTGTGGGGGCCTGAGCCAGGCAGGAATTGTGCCAACAAGTGACAGTCATGTGGGAGTGTCTCTCCTTGGGGAGGGAGGAGGGTAGTGCCTTTCTTGGCTGAATGAAAGGCCAAAGCTATAGCACTGCGGGCCTCTGCCCCAGCTAGCGTGTTGATAACTAAGCAGTGGAGGCCTCTGTGGATCCTGTGTTCCACAGACCGTGAGCTCTGGAGTTTTATGGCTGTGGGGGGTTTGGGTGGCTGCAGAATTCCGAGCCTTGTAGGCTTTGGCAGGTAAGAGGGCCCAAGGTAAGAACAAGAGCTGATGGGCACAGGCATTCTATATATAAGTGGCTCATTAGGTGTTTATTTTGTTCTATTTAAGAATTTGTTTTATTAAATTAATATAAAAATCTTTGTAAATCTCTATATACATCTGGTCATTGGAGGTTCCAGTATAAACCCATCTTAGTTCTACCCGTTTCCCCCTCAAAGGGGGAGCAGGGGTCAATTGACTCCACCCCTGTCCTGCCAGGGGGATGCTGATCTTCCTGCCCATGGAACACTTGCTACAGGTGGGCACTGGGTCAGATTCCAGGTAGGATGAACCAGGAGGAGCTTGGCACCCCAGGACTGGAAGGGAGGCTAGGGCTCCAGCCTTTAGTGCAGGCGCCTCCTTTCCCAAGGCAGACGGGACAGGAGAGCTTCACGGTCTAGACCAACAGCCACAGCCACTGCCATCCTAGGCCACCCACTGAGGGGGTTCATTGGCACTTGTCATCGCTGTCAGAAGGGCTCCCCTCCCGGGGGAGGCCATGATGGGAGCGGGGCCCCCAGAGTGCATGCACCTCTGTGGTCTCTGTGTCACTGCTGCTGGTGGCACTGTCACGGAAGCTGGCCAGGGGCGGCCGGACTTTGACGCCCTGTGCTGTGACAGAGCCCTCGATAGCCTTCCGGAGCTAGAAAGGGTAGAGGGTCAGATGTGTGGACTCTGAGCTCCCTGCTCAGACTCCACCCCAACACTTACCCCAGGTGAACTGGACACAAACAAGCCTGCATGCCTGTTTGGAAGCAGAAATGGTGTGATGGCCATTATCATCTCACCTCCTTTAGGGTGACGATCCCAATGAGTCGGCCAATACTGGTGACATAAGCATGGTCCACTCCCAGTAGTGAGAAGATGGTGTGAGTCTGCAGGGTGGGGAGAAAATACACTGGACATCATGTACACCATCTACAGGCCAGAGGGCCCCAGGACAAGGCTGGGGTGGGGAATAGGAGTGGTGCCATACATAGATGGGGGGTGGGGAAGGGAGGGCCACTAGAGGGAAAAGAATAATGAGGACATTTCTGCAGCCAAGCCTCAGAAACTTGAGAGAGGGAATCTTTAGGTTGCTTATTTGGTGGAGAAACAGAGGAAGGATTCTTCATCCCATGTTAGAAAGAGGATGATGGAGGACAGAACAACTGTTCAAATGTGACATGTAATGATTGGCCATGCACTGAGCGAGATCTTTCTGAAATTAGTAACTTCAGTAGTGTTCTGAGATACCCATTCTACAGGAGAGGCAGTATGAGGCTCAGTGGTGAAGTGACTTTGCAGCTCCAGAAGGAGTTTTCATCCCTCTATAGAAGGATAGTTTTCATCCCTCTACAGCCCCGCTCCTGTGCAGATGTCCAATCAGTCACAGAGGTATCTGGCAGGGAGGTTCCATATCCTTTAGGGGTACTGGCCCTGAATTTTGTGCCTCTCACCCCACTTTAGTAGCTGACACATGCTTCCCATTTGCCTCCAGCAGGCTGGCAGTTAAAATGTCCTTTACCGTGGCTCTGACATTTCAATCATGGCCTGAAGCACTCTACGTCTCGCATACAGTTTGCCTTTTCTGGGGCCCAAGTAGCATCCCAGGTGCTGTTGAGATGTAGCTTGAAGTCCAGGGAAACAACAGTCAACCACAAACTCCCATGTCTTTCTGGCTTTGGACTCTCCCCCCAACTTTCAAATGTAATCACCAAGGGCTCAGGAATTGTCAACCAGTTCTCCTTGTGTTCTAAGTAGATTTTCTTGGGCCAGATGTCTTGAAAAACACTACTGACACAGCAGTTCCTGGAATTTTTGGCCTATCACTTATCGCAGTGTTTTCAGTTTACTTGTAAAGTCTCTTGGCTTAATGTTTGAATCAAAATGGGCATTAATAACCCAGCTTTTTGAATACTAGTTACTCAGAACTCATTATAGCCATCTGAAAGCTTCAAAAATATTTTCTTATACAGTTGCTAAATCATTAGAGGCCTTCCAGAGCTTTCCTAACTCTCCGTTTAAGGCATGACAGTACTTATAAAGCAGTTAGAAGTTCAGTTTTAGAATAAGCTTCTCTACGTTCCTTCAGTACCTTTATCATAACTTGTTGGGGTTACCAAGTTCTTCCTCATATCTAACTTGAATCCTACATGCTACATGTTACCTTTTAGTTTCCTCATCTGACTTCACAGGGAAACCTATATTATCAGATTTTCTGTTTTAATAATCCACTAGCTTTGTCTTCTTATGGTTTAATAGTCCCTCTATCTTCTCCCAAGGATCCTATTAAATTGTTCCCCTGGATTTTCTTTTTCTCCACAATCTTAATTAGAATGAGCTTCTGGTGGACTCTATGCCTTTTAGGTTTGCAAACCACTGGTCCCGGGCAGTCACCAAGCCTTGCCGATCTGCTTCCTGAACATCTTGGCCATGCTGATTCCCTCACTGTCCTTACCAGGACCAGGCCACAACATCCTCATGGGTTCTGCTTTTGGTCTCCCTTCCCTTCAGCATGGCTCTGCCATCCTATGAGCTTTCTCAAACTTGAGTTAGAGCCCATACTCCCCAGAAGAGCCCACAAGACTCTGCCTAAGGCCATCCCAGCTGGTCTCAGATTCTGCTAGACACTCTAGCTTCCAGCCTCACATAATCACTCATCTTCTTCTGAAAACACCAATTTCTTGGATACTTCAACCCTTCCCTCAAGTCCCCCGCTGTCCGCCTCTTAGTATAAGCAGCAGTAGAAGTCATTCCTCACATATATTGAACTCTTACTATGGCCAGGCACTGTTCTAAGTATCCCATATCAAGTCCTTTATCCAAAGAAAAACCTATGATGTAGGTACTCTGAGCCCCATTCTACAGATAAGGAAAGCAAAGCACAGAGAGGCTAAGAAATTTGCCAAGGCTACACAGCTAGCTAACACATGGCAGGCTGAGGATTTAGGTAAAGCCGGGCTGGCTTAGCTTTGGCATCCCAGCCTCCCCTGCCCCTGCTTGTCTGCAGGTGGCTTCAGAATGAATGTGGCAAGTAGCTGGTATGGCTGGCAAGCTCTAGTCTCATAAGTCCCTAAATAGTCTCCAGTGGATTCCCTCTCCCCGTGAATGTTCCCCTCCTGAACTTGACTGGGCTATTACTAATTGATTCTTCAGGCCTACAAGGCCATTTTGAATTCTCATCTTTTATGTTCTTATCACTTCTAGTTCTTTGTACTTTTGTTAGTCGGTTTCTCAAAGGCTTCTTCTCTTCCTCTGATTTTTAAGTTTGTAACAAACACCTACTTTGTTTTTTTCATTTTAATTTAATTAGACACCAGGGAGCCCATTGGAGGGCCTGTACATCTTGGGCTTGGGAACAGTGAATTGACAGGGAGAGGGACAGCGTGGCCTTCTGAAAGAATCCTGGGATTGTGGCCAGGGAATCTGGGCTCTGGGCCTGGCTCTGCTGTACTGACTCAGGCAAGTGACCTCTTCACTGCCTCAGTCTCCCCATGTATTAAAATGGTTAAATCCCAAGGCTTTTGGGTCAAACCATCTTGGATTCCAGTCTGACTGCGCTGCTTACTAGCTGTGTGACCTTAGGCAACTTGCTTAACTTCTCTGAATTTCAATGTCCTCATCTATAAAAACTGGAATATCACAGTATCCATTTTACAGTCCAGTTGTGAGGATTAAATTAAACGTGTGTAGAGCTTAGCAAGTGGCTGGCACATAGTGGACACTATAAAAAATGGCAACACGATAGAAAAGCTTTAGAGTTCTTAGGAAGAAAGGCTTTAAATAAAAACTCAGTGTATTCTCAGGTCTATATATACTTTTCTTGCAACTGTACTGTAGTTCCCCAGTCACTTTGATCTGATGTCTTTACCCAAAGGCTTTTAAGTTCCTTTATTACCTTTTGCTTTTTTTTTTTTTTTTTTTTTAAATTACCTTTTGCTTTTCTCTTTCTTTGTGCCCTGTCCTTCCTGGCCCAGCCCCTGCTTACCTGGGCTCTTAGGCTCAGCTTGCACCTCGGCTAGCTGCTGGAGCTGCAGACCTTGGGAGTATTCCTCCACTGCCTGCATCCCCATGCCCTGGAGGCTTGCACGTTTAAATCTGTCAACAATTTGGCTAAAATGCCCTGCTCGGTTTCTACCCCAGCACCCTGCTGGGTGTGCCTGCACTTCCTGCCTTCGCTTAGAAGCCTGAAGATGCCCAATGAGGCCACTGTCCATGCTGGGGAGGCCCCGAGAAAGTCCTCCACAGAGAGCCCCAGCCCTCCTTGAGTGTCAGCCTCACCCTCCACCAACCTGTCTGCACTCAACTTTTCTCCCCTTGTCTGCAGGCCATTCTGCCCTTCTACTGAGCTAGCTTCCTGTGTACCTACCAGTTTTCCTTTGGCCTACATTATTAAGTCAGACTTTCTGGGGTCTGACATTCCAAGCCCCCCACTGGGCGTTTCTCATCTTTGTTTATCTCTTCTCTGCAGTGTCCCCACCCCTACTTGGATATTTGCTAGCTTGTTTATTAGAGTTTCTTATCCTGCCTGTTTCTCACCCCTTTTTTTTTTCAGTTGTGGGTGTATCAGCCTTGTTGGGTGCTGGCAGTCTCCTGCCTGGCTCTGACCCTGGCCTGGCCCTCTGGCTTCCACCCAGCTCCAACCCTGTCTTTGTTGCTGCTTTGGCCCAGAGTTCCCTGGGGGCAAGGCTGAGCAGAGGAAAAATGATGCCTGCGGTAGGCAGGAACAGGCTAAGGGGCCCTGACTCCCGGCCTCCCATCCTTTAAGGCAATATGTTTGAAACACAGCACAGAGCCCACCCTCTGCTACCCTGTTTCCCCACACCTGCCTGAGTCCAAACTGTGGGAGGACCTAGATCCCCACCCTGTGCTCCTGAGAGCTCAGGGCAGCCCCTGGCGACTGACCCTACCTTGTGCAAAGAGGTCCGCTCCACCAGCTGGAAGGGGGCAGGGTCAATTTTGCAGTCGCTGAAGTTGACAGGTTCATCTAGTTGCTGTTCCTCCCACTCCAGAATCTGAGAGGATGAGACAGAGGATTAGGGGGAAGGTGCCAATAGCTGTTCTCACCTTCCTGAAAGCTGGCTCCCCCTTTTCCCACCCAATGGTCCCTCCCATGGGGACAGCAGCCAAGATGATGACTGAACACTCCCAGGAAGAAACAGGGTCCAGAGTCCAGTCACACCTTACCTCCTCAGGGGTCATCTCGCCTTCCAAGTCTGAGTCACTCTAGGAGAGAGGGACAGAGGTTGGCAGCTAGTGGCTGGGGGGAGGTGGGTGTACCCCCCGGCTTGGGGAGGCTTATCCCGCTAGCCCACAGCCCTCCCTGTCCAGTGCTCCTGAGCTGCAGGAAGAAAGTGAGCACTTACCGCCAGGGAGATTCGGACCCGCTTCAGCTTGCGCTTGTCACATGATTCGGACTTCTCCAACTTTGTTAGAGCCAGAGAGAAGAGGAGTTGATGTTACAGGGAGGGAGGTGAGGGTTAAGTGGTGGAGCGGAGAGGAAGAGCACACAGCAGGGACAGAGCTGACATCTAGGAGGGCAGAAGAGCAGGGACAATGGAGGCAGGCTCTGTAGGGTTAATGGAGGGGTGGTCTCAGTGTCAGAGAGAGAGCTGGAAAGAAAGAGACAGAGACTCTGACTACTCACCTCTGAAGCAGCCTCGGGGGGTGGACTGCCACAGAAGAGGCTCCTGAGGGCGATGCCTGCCTGCTCCATGTTCCCTGTGTTCCCAAACACAAGGCCCCGGGGGCAATGTCATCTTTGAGGGCGAGGACCAGGAGAGGTGAGGAGGGCAAGAGGAGAGGTGTCCTGGTTCTACCCCTGGCCCATCTGGGCAGCCTCTTAGCTGGGATGTGCTCAAGCAAAAAGGTTGGGTAGGGCTCCCACTGGATCTCAGGGGCCGTACTCTGGCTCTGCCAGTGGGAGAGAGGCCCACCTGTGGGACTCTCCCCGAGGTTCATGGTGTTGCTGGGCCCCCTCTTGAGAGCAGGCTTCAGGGGCTTGTGAGTCTCCCCCCGGGCTGCAGGGAAACCTGAGTCCTCTGTGTTCACCTGCAGAGGCAGGAAGGGGCTGGTGAGGCTATGGCCCCAGATCACTTCTGTATTGCCCTCCCAGTCTACGTGACATCTGGGAAGATTGTGCGGTTGTGGGGTTCCCCTGCTCACCTGGAAGCGGACGGAGGTCTCAGGGCTAGGGGGACTCTCCTGATCGGACGGTGGAGAGGTCTGGGCATTTCGATGCTCCTGCATGTACTGCCGTCGGCGGGCTGGGCTCAGCTGCGCCCCCAGCAATGCCACCACCTGTGAGCGCTCAATGGAGCCCAGGAGGATCATGGACTCTGGGTAGAGCAGGTGGGAGGACTCAGGAGCTGGGGGTGAGGCCCTCCTACTCACCCCCGGCCTTCTTTCACACCCAGAGTGGGGTCTTGGACACAGACCACGCACCAGAGGGAACCCCTGGCTGGCAAATGCTGGCCCAACCAAGGAGACTGGTTCTGAGCTCCTGTTCCCTCCCTCTTCCTGAGCAGCAACCCTGGGAGATGCCCCCAGCACCAGGGATCCCTCCTGGTCTCACCAGGGGATTCCACTAGGGCCAACATGCGGCCCTTGGTCCTGTGCAGTGCTAATCGAAGGTCCCGGAAGGTGCAGCTGAGGGCCACGTGGGGAACATCCCGCACCATGATGTCCTCCACTCGCATCCGGTACTGCCTGAGGGTAGAGAAAGGCACTTAGTTTGTGATCATGATGGGGAAGGGATCCCAGAGCACTACCATCAGGGCCATAAAAAGGCCCCAGAGCCCATGGGGACAAGGGCTAAGAGCCAAGGAGTATTTCTGCCTTCATTTGACCAGGTGGGGCTAGCTGCGGCTTCCCCAGGATGTGGACAGGGCAGTTCTGGCCAGGAGAGAGCAAGGTGGCTGGTCTCCCAGCTTCACTGTCTGAGGACTTTGCTGGAGGTGGGTCTGAGGGGGTCCTTCTGACCCTCACCCGCACCCCCCTTGTTGCCCAGCCCTCCATACTGGTGGCGGCCCCAGCCCAGTTCAGGCAAATAGGGCAGTTTCTTGATCCGGATGATGCTGTCATAAAGTGAGGGCTGTAGGCTCTGGGCAACGGCGTTGGCCAGGATGACGGCAATCATGACGGGTAGGATGTGGGCAATCTGGCCTGTGAGCTCGAACACGATCACAGCCGTGGACACTGTGTGTGTCACTGCTCCTGCCAGTGCAGCTGCCCCTGGAGGTAGCCATCTTCAGTCACCTCAGGGTGCTCAGGTCCCAGATGACCCTCCCCATCCAGGGATGGTCCTCTGGGGGCCTTTCAGGTCGCCCAGTACACTACCGGGGACCTGCCAGGCCGCCCAGTACACTACTGGGGACTGGCTTCTGCATCTGAGTGAAGCCGGGTTCCTGCCAGCAGGGGGCACCAGAACCTCAGACCCTGTGGCCAGGGGTCTTGGGAGACAGATGGGGACCTGGAGCACTTACCCACCACTGCATAGCCACCAGGCACAATCCGGTAGGTGCTGCCGTCAGTGTGAATCCCATCTGGAAACCAGGCAGCCATGCTTTCGCCCACCAGACGCCCAAATGCTGCTCCTTCAGGGAGGGGGGTGGGAAGAGAAACAGGTAGTGGAGGGGGAGGGTGGGGGCGCTAGGAAGAGAGAGGGTCAGAAGGTGGGGGAGGGGCCAGTGGGTCATTCAGTACAGGGGATAGTCAGGGGGTGGGGTTGGGGCTGAGGCTGGACCAAAACCCACTCCCAGGCAGAGAGGGGACGGCGAGTGGGTGGGAAGGTTGAGGCTAGGAGAATAGGCAGCTGAAGACTCACCAATGACAAAGACTGGCATGAAGGCCCCACAGGGCACTGGGATGGTGGTGGCCAGTGCAGACATCCAGAACTGCAGGCAGGAGGTGGTTCAAACAGGTAGAGGCACTGCCAGGCCCCAGGCAGCCCCCAGCTTCACCCTGGGGCGTCTACCTTCCTTATCAATCAGGCACAAGCTCCCAGCTATCCCAGAATCCCCCAGGATCAAAGAAAGGAAGACTCCAGAACCAGATGGCTTGGGTTCAAATCTTACTCTGCGGTCTAGCTCTGGGACAATTATGTAACCTCTTTGTGCCTTGACTTCCCATCTTAAAAAAAAGGGCTACTGATAGTACCTTTCTCATAGTGTTGTGAGACTTAAAAGGAATGACTATATGGAAAGTGCTTAGAACAATGTCTGGCACCTAGGAAGCCCAGGTTGGCATTAGCTCTACACATGTAAGAGCCCTACCTTCATGAGAATGAAGATGACCAGGGTGAGGAAGACGTTGGCACGTGGTGGGCTCCAGGCCTGTGAGGTTCCCGGTGGCTCTAGCTCCTCTACCAGGCCCTGGCGGACCCACGTCCGGTTGTCAAACAGGGTGACCAGAGTCTCTTTCTGTGAGAGCTGTAGGTGAACACGGTGCCTCAGGCTGGGGAACAGCCAGGATGAAGGGAAGGGGCCCAAAGGAGAGCAGAGACTGTTGGCTTTAGAGGGGATATATCCCGAGGGAAAGCACAAGTGTCTGTTCTGCCTGGAGTTACCTGTCCGGCCATGAACTGTCCAAACCCAGGGGGGAAGGTCAGAGTGGAGATGAGCAGGGTCACCAGAGCTGGGAAGAGCAGGCGCCTAGAGATACAGGTTTCACAGCATCAAACATGGGTGGTGTACCTACTACAGACTGGTAGCAGTCTGGGTGCCCTCACATACCTCAGGGCTGAGGTCGCAGCAGAGCCTCACGCTTACATAAAAGCACACAGTTCTGAGAGAAGGTCCCTTTTGCTGTTCGTGATATGATGGACCCAAGGGTGATGGCTGTCTGGGGTTATTATAAGCCCAAATGTCTTTCTGTTGGCCCTCAATTCCCCACGTAGGTAGCAGAAATGCAACCCATTCCAGCCCTCCCTTGGACACTTCTGAGCTGTGACTCCTCTCTGTGCTCTCAGAAGCCCAGCCAAAGGGCACACTGTGTGACAGTATGGAGAAGTTTATGCCTTTGTTTCTCTCTGGTGACTTAGAGTGAAGGTCAGTGTTGGGAAGAGCTACGGTCACTCATGAAGTTGACCAAAGGTGCCAGAGGGAACAGGTTTAGTGGGCTGCCCTTTCTCTGAAAGACGTCAGTCCCAAAAGTCCCGTCTCGGGCCTTCCCGCTCCCAATCCTCAAGTTCACAAATGAGAGAGTTAAGCTCTGGAGATTAAAAAATCTCACCCATTCCCAGAACGGGGTGGGGTGGGGGGCTGGGAACCATGGCCAACACTCCAGGAGCAGTGCCATCTGTCCAGGCCACGGGCCTAAGGAAGCCTTAGGTTTTGTTGGTTGTTGTTGTTGTTGTTTAATGTTTATTTTTTTTGAGAGAGTGCAGACTGGAAAGGGCAGAGAGAGATGGAGACAGAATCTGAAGCAGGATGGAGACACAGAACTGAAGCAGGCTCCAGGCTCTGAGTTGTCAGCACAGAGTCCAATGTGAGGCTCAAATTCACGAGCTGTGAGATCATGACCTGAGCCGAAATCAGACGCTTAACTGACTGAGCCACCCAGGTATCCCGGAAGCCTTAGTCTTTAAAAAAAAAAAAAAAAAAAAAAAAAAAAAAAAAAAAATATATATATATATATATATATATATATATATTTAAATATTTACTTATTCGTTTGTTTATTTTAAGAGACAGACACCCAAGTGAGGGGCAGAGAGAGAGAGAGGAGAGGGAGAGAGAGTGTGGAGCCTGGAGGGGCTTGAGCTCATCTGATGCGGGGCTCGAACTCAAGAACCATGAGATCGTGACCTGAGCTGAAGTAGGATTCTTAACCGACTGAGCCACCCAGGTGCCCCTTTAAATTTTATTTTTAAATACTCCCTACACTCAGTGTGGGGCTCAAACTTACAACCCCAAGATCAAGAGTCACATGCTCTCCCGACTGAGCTAGCCAGGTGCCCCATGGAAGTCTTAATCTTTGATGTGAAGTGCCTTGACTAAAAATTCAAAAGTGCCAATTTTGAGGTAATTCATGTAAAAGCCAAAATGTTCAATCATTCCGGAAAACACCATTGGCTGATTTTCTCAATGAAGTGCTATCTTTAACTGGGCTACTCTTTGCCACAGTAGGGTGGCCCTCTCACCCTACTGTGACCATCGCACAACTCAGAGAGGAGCCCAGGTCCAACTCACTTCTTCATGAGGAAGCGGTTGATGGTTTTCTGCTTCCGCATCACCTGGACAATCTTCCGGTTCAGGTAGACAAAGAGCGCTCCCCCAAAGCCACTAGCAATACTAGAGAGAGGAGAAGTACCAGGGTGAAAGGGGGTCTTCCCTCTTCTACCTCCTCCTCTCCGATGCACCCCAGCTCCCTGAGCTCCCCTCACCCAATGACAGCAAAGGCCGGCAGCTCCTGGAGGTCAAAGGGGAAGTCAAGCCGGAATCGGGTTTTGAAGAGAGCCGTAATTGTCTCTGAAAGGAAAGCAGAGTAGCAAAGGGAGACAGGTGTAGTGTTGAGGGCCCTCACCCGAGCCATCTCAGGGGCTCCTCTCGTCCCCCAGGTCTCCCCCACCTTCATCACGGTTCCAGACCGCCAGGACCCGGAAGATGAAGGCACTGAAGGTGGCAGCAAAGAAGCCTCGCCAGTAGTTCCGCACAGCGAAGAAGGTGGAGGTGACCTCAATGCTGAATAGGACGCCTGTGGGGGGGCAAAGCAGAGTGCCACATGAGGCCTGGGCCCTGCCTGAGGACTCAGACCCAGATGAGAGGGGCAAAGGAGGTGAGGCCAGGGGCAGGGCTGAGGGGCTGGACTGCCCGCCTACCTCCAATAGGTGCTGCAAAGCAGCAGCCTACTCCCACGGCACAGGCAGCAGCCAGCATCTCTGTGTTCCGGGATTCATTCTGGCAAGAGTGGTGGAAATGGGTGTCAGCGTGGCCTCAGCAGCCTCCCCTCCCCCTCTGCTTTCCCCCAGGGTCTCCCTTACCTCATAGATGCCCCCAAAGAGGGAGAGGAACTTGCTGAGCAGGGCAGCACACATGCTGGCGATATGCACAAAAGGGCCCTGGGGGTGTGGGAGCAAATGGTGAGTGGGGAAGGGGCACACCTTGACCTTGGCCTATCTTCTTCCCCCACTGGGTCAGACTCCTTCTATCCCCAATCTGGAGTTACCTCTTTGCCAAGGGGCATCCCGCTGCCCAGGGCACAGGTCAGCCCAATGACCTTAGCTACAAAGGTCTTCAGGGTGAGGTATTCCTTCAGCACCACTCCTCGCAAGATGGTCTTCATCTCAGGGATGCCAGACCCTGGAGAAGTTATGGTCCCAGGAGAGTCATTTGATGTGCCCGTTTCAGGAGGTCCCATCACTGCCCTCCCCTTCTTTCTTACTGTACCGACAGCCTGAGGAGCCAGGATCTGTGTGAATCCAGCTGAGAAAGTGATGAGAACGATGGGGTAGGTGACCCAGGCCAGGTACTGGAGCAAGAGGCTAGTGTTCAAGCCTCGGGACATCCACTGTTGAGCTGTGGGGAGAAGATGAGCTGCTGGACCCTAGATGCACACACCCAGTCCCCACCTAGCCACTGGGACACACTGATATGACAAGCTGTCCCAGGGAGAATGGATCCATCACAGACAGCCTGGGCAAGAGGGGTAGGGAGGCGGCCTTACAGGGCATTCATTGGGACAAAGATCACAACAGGGAAGAGGGGCAGTTCGAGAAGGGAGGCAAGAAGTTGTGGCCTATGGGAGTGGCAGTCATTATGCCTGAAGAGGAGGCAGTCAGGCTGGCTGGGGAAAGTGGTCAGTGGCCAAGTAGCCAAGATGCTTGGACAAGTGTGGCATGGAGAGAGCAGGTTGGTTCTTCCCAGCCTTCCCCTTGCCAGCCCTTGTCCTTACCCTGCAGACAGGCAGCGATGGCATAGTCCATGGCCCAGCTGACCAGAGCCATGAGGAGCCCCAGCAGGACCAGGAAGATCCAGTCTTCACCAACCCTGGACACTAGGAACTTATGGCAGCGTACGGAACAGACTGGGAGCAGGGAAGGGAAGAATGGAGCGGGGAGGGGGGGAGGCTAGCACCAAAGTATTCCCACCTCTGCCCCCCAACCCTCAACCTCCCAATGGGTAGCTCTAATGGCCTCTGTCCCCCTTAGCACAGCACAGCACAGCACAGCACAGCACAGCACAGCACAGCCAGGTCTCCTGCCCCAACCCAGGTCTCACTGCGGCATCGGGCGCAACGGCTCTGTCCATATTCCAGGAGCTCTGGGGGAGCCCGAGGGGAAGGTGGACCCCTCCAGGTCTCGGGCCCTCCCAGGCGAATCCGAGCAGCTTCCTCTTTGGCAAAGGCCCCAAGGTCCTGAGTATACCGGCCATACATCTGAGGAACAGGGAATATGGGGACATTAGCAGATGTGTGCTGAGTGGGGACCCCTGCATCAATTCCCCTTCTCCCAGACCCTATATTATATGCCCCTTCTTGAACCCACAGTTTCCACTTTGGCTTGGGGTGTGGAAACAATGCACATTACAGACCGTGGGGGCTGTCCTGGCCAGAGTAATGGGGACAGCCAAGGTACAGGGCACAGCACTGGGGGTGGCAGAATAATCGTCCTCTTCTCACAGGCCTGCCCAGGGAGCATGGAGGAGGAAGAGTGGGAGGGAAGGCCCCAGAGGAGGAAAAGATGGAAAAACCTAAGGCAGTCTGAAAGTGGGAGGAAGGAAGGTCAGAGAATAAGGGATGGTCAAGGACGGAAGGGTAACAATGAGGGCCTCATGGAGCTGGGGGCAGCTGAGTTGGGCCTAAGAGCAGGCGGGGCCTCAATCCTTATCACGTTCCCGCTTGGCCTCTAGCCTGTGACCAACTCAGCTGCACCCTTCCCATCCACCGTAATCCCCTTGTCCCCATTCTCCACCCCTAACCACCACCACCCCCCCCCACCCCAGCCTGCCAGCCCAGCTGGGAGTAGAAAGTCTCTGGGTGGGTGGAGAATGCTGGTGGCTTCAGTCCCACTCTGGAGCTGCCCTGAGTCCAGTGGTGGGTTGGGGCCGGCAGAAGCTGATGGCTGGGCTGTGACTGGGGATGTTGGGGTGCTGGGACGGGAGAGTGAGAGTCGCTGAGCCTCAGCTAGACCTGCCAAGCTGGGCGTGTGTTGGGGGGTGGGGAGGAGTAGATTCCGGCTGCCACCCGCAGAGCTTCGGGACACAAAGGGCTCCTGTTGGGGCTGGGGTTGGTGGTGGGGGGGAGGGAGGGAAAGATAGAGACAGAGCAAGAGAGTGATAGAGAATGAGGAAAGGGAGGAGAGGGAAAGGGAAAAAGAGAAGCCAGGGGAAAGGCAGAGAAGAGAAAGGAGAAGAGAGGGGAAGAAGGAAGGAGGAAAAGAGAGAAAGAAAGTAGAGTACAAAGAGGCAGACACAGTGTAGGAGGGGGAGGTGAGTGTGTATGAGGAAGACAAAGGGATTAGAAGGAGAAGGGGGAGAGGCTGGAGCAGAGAGTGTTCGGGAGACAGCATGACCCTGAGGATTCGTTCCAGAGATAGAGACCAGGCAAAGGAGGTGGAGATGTGGCTGGTGCAACAGATAGACACCATTTCAGAGGTCAGGTGCCTGGCTTCTTTGACCAAAGCCCCATTCTCAGCCAGGACAGATTGACAGACACCTCCCCCACAATGCAAAGGCTTGCCCCTCTCCCCTGGCTCCACCCCCGCCCCTGCCACCTCTCCCTGTCATCCTGTTTCAACCAGTCTCTCTCTTATAACAGGGCACCTCCCAGCCCCAGCTACAACCCAGGACCCCTCCTCCTGGAGAGGCTCCCTCCCAGCCTCCTTCCAGAGCAAATTCCAACCCAAGCTGGTAAAAAGGAGCCACCAGCCCACTCCCTTCCCTAGAGTTTGGGTCCTCCGCCTAGTGACACAAGAAGGGGCAAAAGGCTTCTCAAACGCTAAGTTGTAATGGTAGCCATGAGTCAGCTCACAGCCCCAGGACCCCTGCTTTTAATGAGGTCAAGGGACACCCCTGAAGTGGGTGGGGGCTGGATACCCAGTCAGCATGGACAAAGGTCCCAATTCCCACACCCATTCTCGCTTGACCCATCCTCCCTAAAGCTCCTGTACCAAGA